CTGAAATATGCCTGAATTGTTACTGTGAACATTGTTTATTACTTTTTCATCAAATTGTGTTCTATCCAGAATACCTTAATTAGGTTAGTGCTACTTGACTAATGCCCACATGGCTTATTTTGGTGTTGAGGTGTTCACATTTTTTTTTAGTTGTACCATAAATAGTGAAATAATACTGCATTTGATGATTGAGGAACTCTCCATGAGGGTGTCAACAATATACCTCAAACCCTTGGTCATTCTCAAAAAAAAAAATTAAAAGCCTTGGAAAGAGAAACCATACCCCTGTTTATGTCCCCTTTTAATTAGATATTGCTTGTTGATTCCTTCCTTTGAAACCAGATGGTTGTTTGACTTTATCTTTTTTTGTGTGGGTATGCCATTGTCAAAATGAGAGGAAAAGAAACGAAACATTGGTTTGACTTCATGTTGGCATGCAGATTGGATGAAGAATGCATCCAGCCCTGTCATCTTTAATTTTTAATTATGATAAAACAGTAGATATTTTAGCATTCAATTACCATTAGTTATTGTGTGTCTTAATAATAATAATAATAATAATAATAATAACTTTATTTGTATAGCGGTATATACAAAAGCTCTATATCGCTTTACAATCAAAAAAGAAAATAACTAACTAACAATAACACTAAAACAAAAGGTCAAATGAAAGCGAGTCTGAAAAGATAAGTTTTCAATCTAGATTTAAAAACATCAACTGATCCACTTAATTTAATGTCTAAGGGAATATCATTCCATTGCTTTGGGGCAGCGACCAAAAAGGCCCTGTCCCCATAGCTCTTCAGGCGCACATTCGGCACTTCTAATAAACGTTTGCCAGCAGACCTAAGATTTCTTGTAGGGTTATATGGGACTATAAGTTGACTTAAATATGGAGGTGCCAGATTATTGAGAGCTTTAAAAGTTAACAGTAATACTTTAAAGGTAATTTGCTGCTCCACAGGTAACCAGTGTAGCTCTTTAAGGACGGGGCGAATGTGCGCAGCCCTAGGTTGACCAGCTACAAGGCGAGTGGCACAGTTTTGAACGCGCTGGAGTTTCTGAATAAGGGCCAAGTCGCACTAGAGGACAATTTCAGATTTGTCCAGGACAAATCTGACTTGAAATCGGCCAGTGACAAAAAATTTGTCCGGAAAGCTACAGTCGCACTTGAGAACAAAATCTGTGAACAAAACATCACACCATGCTGTGAGCGTCACGTAATTTCCCGCGAAGCAGCCTTTACCCGCTGTTTCAATCCACAAATCGCGACACGAGGGATCTCAAAATGTTTCCACAAAGAATTCTAGCAATAATATTTTTCTTCTATTTTCTGGTTCTTCATCAGCAAGCAAATATCAATATCAATTTAATGATATGTTGTCTGTTATTAATGCAGAATTTACGTGCACAAAACATTCTAGTGACACGATGTATTCGCCGACAACGAAATCGTTATCGAAGACGAGCACCATACTATTGGACTCTTCCTCGTCCAGTCGAATCGTGGTTCGAGATCCATTATACTGATCGAACAATACCTGGGGACTACTTTCGAAGGCTCTTACGAATGAACAGAGAAAGCTTTGATTTGTTGCTCAATGTAATTCGTAACCGGCTGACGAGACAGAATACAGTTCTGCAAAATTGCCTCACTCCTGAATAGGTCCTTGCTTGTGGTTTGCTTCGCCTTGCACACGGAAATTCATATGAAACAATAGGACCTGCGCTAAACGTCGGCAGAACTACAGCAATAGAGGCTTGTCAAGATGTGGTTGAGGCTCTTTATGACTTAAGGAATGAGTACATCGAATTCCCAACAACAGTGGCCGAGACAATGAGGTGTAAAGAGACATTTACGGACAAATCACGACTTCCAAACATTGTTGGGGCCATAGATGGCACTCATATCAAAATAGTTGCTCCTAGAGACAGTGCTGTTGATTATTTTAGTCGAACTCAGCAACATGATTTCATTATTCAGGCCGTTGCTGACGGTAAGGGATTATTTCTTGACTTTGCAGCGGGTTATCCGGGAAGTATCCACGACGCTTGGGTATATCGAAACAGCTCGCTTTATCTAAGAGCAAGCAATGGAGATATACTCAAGGAACCCGTTGAAAGAATCGGCATCACAGATATTCAGCCTTACCTAGTAGGAGACAGCGCATACCCTATTTCCCCCTGGCTTATGAAGCCTTATCCTGAAGCGATGCGTGACCATGGCGAGATAACATTTAACAAGGAACTGTCGTCTGCACGAGTAACCATCGAGTAACCATCGAGTGCGCTTTTGGCTGCCTCAAAAGTCGTTGGCGAATTCTA